GTGTGTGTGTGTGTGTGTGTGTGTGTGTGTGTGTGTGTGTGTGTGTGTGTGTGTGTGTGTGTGTGTGTGTGTGTGGAAATTAACTCGGTGCTGTCCTAATAGTTGCCTTAACAAAAAGAATTAGAAATAAACCAAAAAAAGCATAAAATCAATCCAAACTCAGTAAGACACATTGYGCATTTTTGTTTAATGCAATTGAATTCATTGTCACCTTTTAGACATTAATTTTTTATTGAAATGTTTAAATTTATCGGTAGTGTTGTGTAGAATTTTGATCAGGCAGATTTGTGAACACCTTGTAGRCGACAACAAGCTGGCACATAGGAAATCGCTCACGTGCGCGTCCTGCCCTACGGTGCATTTTAAAAAGAAAAGCACATCTGCTCTAGGTTTTACTAGTTTTAACTTATAAACTACTCATATACTTTTGTCAAAATGAGCTCACAGATCACGTGCGTCGGGTGGGTGAAACGTGGCGTTGCCAAGGAAACACCAGACAAGGTAAATAATGTCAACAGCTAATGGAGCTAAGTCTGTCAACATGCCACGACATGTCAACTTCAAATCTTTATGAGTTACACATTTTTCAGTCAAACCTGAGTTTCTCAAAGTAAATGTTGTKCAATGAAACACATTTTATGTTGCAKCAGTTATTACAGCGGTTCTGRTGTTAAATATAAYAATAAAAACACCCTGATGCTTTAAAAAATATCCCTCTGTTTTGGGTGCACCAGGAAGACCATTTCTGCCACAATGACGGGAGAAAAGATCATATTTAAGAGAGTATTTCATATGTCATCTTTTGTGATATGCTAAGTCGTGAATGTAATTTTGAGATGAAGTAATAAATTTGACATACTGTTATGTAATTGTGGTTTAGAAGAGTTTTTTTGTCTTATTTAGAGTGGAGGAAATATGCTTTAAAAGTCTGTTATTGTTTAAAAATAATAAAAGGTTTGATTTTCCAGGTTGAGTTGAGCCAAGAGGAGCTTCATCGYATCATTACTGAGGCGAAAGAAGAGTTGGGGTATGTTTTAATAATAATAAAAAAAAACCTCACAGTCACTTACTCTATTTGGAACACCAAAAAAATAAAAGACCAACTGTCTGTGCTTTTAAAATACAGCTTATAATCAAATATCTGATCTGGTGTTTTGGCTGTTTTATTTCCAGAGAAGTGGCTGATGAGGATGGGGAAGATGATGATGAGGGTGTGCATCTTGAGCAGAATCCCAGCAGCGAGTCRGCTGATGTTGACTCTAATCCGAGGGATGAGAATGACGGAGAGGAGGAGGATGAACTAGCCGAGTACGGCCTGGATAAATATGATGAAGAAGACACAGGTGAAGAATGCGTTTGTCCACCTTATTCCTCTCTTGTATGCTTGAGTCTCCAGTTGAATTTGCTAAATGTCTCGTGGAAAACGACATGCTGTGTTTGTCTGCAGTGGCCAGTAATCTTGGTGACAGTCTGGCCGGGCTCACAGTGTTCAGCTCGAATGAGGAGGATCCCTACATCACCATTAAAGACACAGTGAGTAGCTCCTAACATTAGATTCAAACATTTAGTGCATCTTTCTTACAAATGGTACATAATAAATGTAAAATATGAGAACTGTTCTTTTTTTGTATTTCACAAAAATGATGCTATTAAGCTTGTGAACTATTTATCGAATTACTTTATCTACTTAAGGATCAATATGAGCGAGACGACTTCCAACTCAAACCCACTGACAACTTCATCCTGGCAGGAAAAACAGAAAAGGATTGCTGCAGTTTAGAAGTTTATGGTGAGTGTCTTTATATTTATTGTGACATTATTATAACAGCGAGCGCTGTGATGAAAGTATGTTACTGCTTTGAACATTAGYCCCTGTTAGCATTGATGCTAACAACACTTTAACACTCGGAAACTGGACCCGGTCTGTCCTCTGTTGCCTCACAGCTCTGGCTTCGTGCATCGCTGAGTCAGCACCTTGAGCCAGCTCAGACCTGCTGGGCTCCATAAAGCCACTCTCGACCTTTGACGACAAAAATCATAAACAAATTAAATGAACTTTAGCGATCTTTGTGGTTCGTTTTTTTTTTTTTTTTTAACCAGCTACAAAGTTGCTGCTCTGCATCTTCAATATTTCCTCAGTAATAAATAAACAATTTTGTTGATGTTTAATCCTGCCAGTTTATCAACCGAGCCACGCGTAGCTTAAGCTTCCAATTCAGGAAATGGCTAAAAGGTGATTCTATCTAATTTTTCACTACCTTGAGCATATTTAATCTGCTCTAGTTTACTGGATTATTCTACACATACAGCATGATATTTAAAACCAAGTTTGTGATTTGTGAAACTTCAGTAAAAGGCTGTTTTCAGCACATTTTAAGCATCTGGATCACACTAGATCTGTTTTTGAAAAATGCTAGCTTGTCAAATTAAGCTAGCTGTCACGTTCCTTTGTCCTGACCACACATCCGCATGCTTGTCTGTGCCCCTCTTTTGGCACCGTCYACTTTTTTTGTCAGTCTTTCACTTGGGGGGGTTCGTTACACTTTAAAAATAACTTCTTTTTTAATCTGTTTTTGCTTATGATACAAGCTAAATACATTTAAAAAATTGTTTGGCTAGCTTTTTACATAGAAAAAGGTATTAATTCAGTTTCTTTCTTCCCAGTTTACAACTCTGATGAAGACTCTCTGTATGTTCATCACGACATTCTGCTGCCAGCTTATCCGCTGTGTGTGGAGTGGTTGAACTTTGACCCCAACCCTGAGGAAGGAGCAGGTGAGGACGCCTGACGCCACTGTTCCAAACATCCTTTGCTAACTTTTTGCCCACGTCCGTCTTGACTAAATGTAGTGACGTGTCTCCTGTGTGTCTGAACTGCAGCTAACTACGTCGCGGTGGGCAACATGACCCCTCAGATCGATGTGTGGGATCTGGACGTGGTGGACTGTTTAGAGCCGGTCTTCTCCCTGGGGAGCAAAAAGGCCTCCAAGAAGAAAAAGAAGAGCAAGAAGGTGCGAGTGTTCACATTAGTGACATCATCTCTCCACCGTGAAGAGTTGTTAGCTCACAGCTTCCTGCTGTGTTTCAGGCTGCAGCTGCAGAACCYGAAGAGGGACACACGGACGCAGTGCTGGATTTATCCTGGAACAAGCTGGTCAGGTTGGTTGTCTTACTGCAGCTCACCGTGTTAAAACAACACGAAGCACATCTTTACAGAAACATAAACCACACMTTGTTCTTTTAGGAACGTGTTAGCCAGTGGATCAGCAGATGACACGGTCATCTTGTGGGATCTGTCTCAATGCAAACCAGCTACAACTCTGCGCAGGCATACAGATAAGGTACACAGTGAGAATGAAACAGATAATTCATTAAATACAGCTTTACTTGTTGAATATACAGTACAAGCTTCAGCTTTTCTAAAATCTCTCTTCCTGCCTTTCAGGTTCAGACACTAGCGTTCCATCCTTTTGAGGCACAGACTTTAATATCAGGGTCTTATGACAAGTAAGTGGTTCTCACTTTACATATGGACTTTATAACAGATTGTATTACCTGTGGGTGTCCCTCCTCAGGACAGTCGTGCTTTACGACTGCCGTAGTCCAGACACCAGCTACCGGACCTGGAGGTTTAGCGGTCAAGTGGAGCGTGTAGTCTGGAACCACTTTTCACCCTGCAACTTCCTGGTAAGTTTCCACAGCCTCCTGCTAAAGTTTGTCCAGCTCAGTTAGGCTCGTGGGAACTTTTGCATTAAAATTTTACCCGTTTGTYTTTACAAATGAGCTGCAGAAGAAATGTTTTAATTCCACTTATGWTGCTTGAATCCTGCGCCTGACGTTCAGTGCCCCAAAAACCTGTAAACAAGCTTTTTTGTGTCATTTTCTCCTGACCACATACAGTATTAGAAACAYGCTCTTAGCTCAGAGGGTTCATGTGTTGTGCGAATAATTGTTCACCAAGAACCACAAACCACACTGAAAACCTTTTGTCTGCAGTGTCACTGAAAGACTAAATGTATTATGTGATAATTATTTATGAATTGTGTTTGTTTATTGTGCAACAACCATTGCTCAGGTTTTCCTGCAATAAATTTCTTAATGTCTGTGGTTAATTGTGTGCGTGTGTGTGTGTGTGTGTGTGTTTGTGTGTGTTTGTGTGTGTGTGTTTTAGGCCAGCACAGAAGATGGTTTTGTCTATTGTCTTGATGCCCGATCTGATAAGCCGGTGTTCACACTGAGAGCACACGATGAAGAAGTGTCAGGTTCGTAAAGGATTAAGGATGGGTTTAAGACGATCTGGACAGAATATTTATTCGAACATGTGAGCCGTGCCGTCTAAAACGACACCTAAAGTTGTTTTCTAAATTGCCGCAGGTTTGGACCTCAGCAGCCAGGTTAAAGGATGCCTCGTCACCTCATCAGCTGACAAACACGTTAAGATTTGGGACATTTTAGGCAACAAACCCAACCTGGTGCACTCTCGAGATATGAAAATGGTAAGAATTGACATTACTTCTGCTCCTGAAGCATTATGGTTTGTTCAAAGTTATGAAAAAAAAGTGATTTTTATTTTTTTGTAAACAGGGGGTGCTGTTTTGTGCTTCATGTTGCCCTGACCTGCCCTTTGTCTACGCCTTCGGAGGACAGAAAGATGGCTTGAGAGTTTGGGATATAAGTGACGTTGCAGCAGGTAAAATAAATCAAATAAATGTTAAACTGCCGAACAAATCTGACTTTTTTTTTTACAACTGGGAAACCGTAGACAGCACCTGGCATTTCTTCATGAGGTCAGTTACTAAATGTTTTATCGTGTTTTTATATTCTGTGGTTGTTTGCTTTCAGTGACGGAGGTGTTTGGGAGTCGAGAGYGTTTGGTAGCGACTACAGGATCACAGGCCTCCAGCAGTGCAGCCTCAGCAGACATGGAAGTCTCCTAGTGATGCTCCGGATGCAACAGCAGCTTGTAAATCCAAACAAACTGAGCTACTGTGGAAACTCCTTCAGTTTCCTGGTTCTGTCTCTGTGGGTCACAAGAAGAGGACATGAATAAATCAAACCTCACTTAATAYGTAGAAACTCTGACCAACGGCTTTAAAATGGATCTAAAGAGATGGTTAACAAATAAAACTCTGGACATTCAAGGTGTGGGGGAAAAAAAAGAAAATGTTTCTTTTAACATTCACATTTGTGAATTAGTGWATGGTTTTTCAGGAAGAAGTGCAAGTGTAAATAGTTTATTTTCATTTGACAAATATAAAATTAACCACATTAAATCAGAATTTATTACTGTTGTAATATTTCTAATAGTAAAAGGAAAATAAAACTCATAATTATGGCAATCTAGACACTCTGTAGACAAGCATTGTCTCTGTCTCAAACCTATACATGATCTGAAGTGCTCCCATTAAACTGCTCTAAATTAAAATGATTGTGTTTTAATGTAAACAAATATGTGGTTCATTTAACAGGTGCTGGTCTTTCTTTTTTGAAAGAAAAGTTGAATTGTGTAGAAAGTCAAAAACTAATGCATCCTTAAAGGCGACAAAGTAAAAACATGCACTCAATGGTGTGCCTTTTTCTTTAGTTACAGAAATTGATGAAGGATTAAACTTGGATAGGATTTGACTTGGGRTATTATTTATTTTGCTTCTGGTTTAACCTGTCATTAATTTTTTTCAGACCAAATTACCAGCCAGGAATCATTATTCCTGCTTTTATCACACACTCATGAATCAGACTTATCAGACATGTACTATCCAGTGAGTCATTTAAAAAATTTATAAACTGCTCAAAAAAATAAAGGGAACACTCAAATAACACATCCTAGATCTGAATGAAGGAAATATTCTCATTGAATACTTTGTTCTGTACAAAGTTGAATGTACTGACAGCATGTGGAGTTGTTTGTCAGTCAGTGTTGCTTTCTAAATGATTTCAAAAACATTACTTTGTTGTATATCCTTTGTTGGCAATGACAGAGGTCAAACGTTTTCTGTAAGTCTTCACAAGGTTGGCACACACTGTTGCTGGTATGTTGGCCCATTCCTCCATGCAGATCTCCTCTAGAGCAGTGATGTTTTGGGGCTGTCGGCGGGCAACACGGACTTTCAACTCCCTCCAAAGGTTTTCGATGGGGTTGAGATCGGGAGACTTTGAAATATTTCTTACGAAGCCACTCCTTTGTTGCCCTGGCAGTGTGCTTGGGATCAATGGGCCTCATGCAAGAACATGTTCGTATTTTTATCCTAAATTTCTCTCACTTTTGTTCGTACAAAGGGTTCGTACGAACATGCCACGTCAGATTCAACAAAGGCTATACGTTCACACTGCAGGCAAATCCGACCCAAATCCGAGTTTTTTGACCCATCTGACTCATATCTGATTTTTTTATGAC